TCATCTAAGATTGTGATTATTCTCTTGATCACTAGTGAAAGTGACTTGTTGAAAGTATAACCTAGTTAATCTTATGCAATCACTGTTACACGCCTCCCCTTCTGACCGTGTTGTGTGTGTAATTTGGCCTCGAGGCATCTCACTAAAATCTACCTTGGTTAAGTCTAGGTTGACGTATCCGTCGTTAAAACGAAACTTAGCCCAGTCAGTAGTTTTAATCTTCTTATTTACTATAAAAAAACAGTTGTCATCTTATTGACCTTTTAAGGGATCGACATTGTTCGGTAGACCTGACCGGTTACGGTTATACCTAATGTGAGCATATCGCTCATCCTGACTATAATGTCGTACTTCTGTGACATCTTAATTATCACAGCTTGGGTGGTGATATTTCTATCATCTGTCAAAGAGATTTTAACTTCTGTGACCACTGTTTCACACTTGGAAGTATTCTAATCTGCTAAAATAAGGTGAGTGGTTTGCTTTCGACGTTCGATATCTTTCATTAATGCAAAACGATCGGATATACATGAATTTCAGCAAGGTTTTATTACCGTTGCAATATACAGGTAGTGATGTAAATATTCTGCATTTGGTTGAGTAACTGTCGGCCTTGAATTAACATGGATTTGAAGTTTGAGCCGCAAGCCTCGCATCCCAAACCTCCGATGGCGAATTGAATTTCTTTTACTTCGTTGGAGACATTGATATTGCTATAAGATCATTGTGTACATTTCTAACATCCTCTCTGGTTTCTGCCGTAGTTTTGAACTTGTTGATTTGCGCTTCTAAGCTGCACTTTCAAAGTGGCAATCTAGCGTCAAAAAAATGTTCCACCGTCAACATATTTATTCCAAGCCGACAGCCTTCGCACAATTATCTGTTTCTTCGACAACTGTTTCTCCACTAGTTCTCGTTTCATGTCGGTTATGATCTTTTGTTATAACTTCCAATCTTTAGGCCCTGTAAATCTCTGCACAGCGCCGAGAGAGAATGCCTGTCAGCTACGTATTAATTTGGTTGAAATGTATGTGAAATACAGTTAGCCTCTGCATCCAATTTGAACTTTTTGCCGTTAGACTCTATCATCATTAGTTCATCAGGTTTGAATGCGTGCGGTAAAGACACGATACTGAATCGTTCTACATCCAGTTGCTACAAAGTCGCCTGGACGACGCCAAGGTCGCCTTACATAGTTAACATCGCGTTCGTGATACGATTCACCTGTAAGGTCTTCATACATAACAATTTGTGCAGTTTAATCCACCAAGGACAAATTTGTATGACCTAAAATTTGTATGTCCTACATCTGTCACTTGCTCATATTTTATGGCCATCCGATAGTTGCGCTTGTGTCGAAAGCCAGCGATTAATATATCCCCAAGATGACTACTCTTAGTTTTACAGCCGAATTGACGAGAAACATACTTGTGCACCGTTGCTTCCACACTGTTAATGCCTATGATACAATGCCATATTATTAAATAATTAGAGTCCACGCCCATTTCGATGTGGGTGCATAGACCTGGAGGATCTGATGTATACCCATCTTTCAGTTGCTCTGATACGATATCCATCTGATGACAGGCTACTGAAATGAACAATGGTTGGGTTGTTTTTACATCAATTTTGTTCTTAAATTCATTGTATACAAGAAGAACTCGTCCATGGAATACTCTAGATTAAGGGACGATATTCCGGATACGACGCCATAGATACGATTGACCGCGATTTGTTCGCCGTAGTTTGGCAACTGACTTATCTTCGGTGAACAAAACTTGCTCCACCTTTGCCACATCGTCAGCGCTATATAAAAATTGCATCACAAAACAATTGATAGAATTCATAGTGATAGCTGTAAGCTCTTTTTACCTTCAAATAACCCATGAGATAAAAAAGTATCATACAATACTCTGCGCCAAGAATATGATGCTTGTGAATTTTTTGTAGATGATCGCCCGTCGAGTTCATCGAAAGCAGTCTTAAATACTTCTTAAACGGTGTTTCTGCAATACATCCAAAAGGTTGCCTGACGCATCTACTTTGATCATTTCTTCATCGTCAAAATCTATGTTTTATGCATCGAACAAAGCTAGTACGACCTCATCAGCTATTTCAGGATGGTGTTCTATCTTGATAGTATAAAGCAGTATATATACATATATATATATATATATATAATATATACATACATATATATATATATATATATATATATATATAAATAGATATATATATATGTATATATATATATATGTATATTAAAACAGTATATATATATATATAGATATATATATATATACTGTTTATAGACCCTATA